TCCGGCTCTGCTGCGCTGCGAGAGCGAGTGACTCGCCCGTCTCGCAGTCACGAGTCCCGGATAGGCAAAAAGGGCTTAAAATCAACAAAATTACAACAGACCGGGCCGGGCACTTGGATACTGCAGCATTTCACTGGAAGTGCCTTCAGTGGGACGTTCGCAATGCTTGCTTACAGTCCATTACTATAAATACAGATGAATGGATTTTTTTATTTTTTTCTACTTGCTTATATTGTGGTTCTTTTCATCAGCCAACTCCATGCAAACTATCTATTCTTACAAGGGTCACAAAAATTAAACCCATTCTAGATGTAGTGGGGAAAGGCAGGCAGGTGTTGGTGCTTGCACTCTGTGTATGTGTACTATATGTACACAGACATAAACACACATAGGTTTTGGTAGCCACTGGCCAGCCAGTGCACACCCGGGCCAACCATCCCACAAGCCTGTACACCTCCAGACTAGTTCTAACACCTGTGGTGCCTTACTCAGCAGGATTAGCAGTGGAGTTCTGTGAGGGACTGAGCTTGGTGTCCAACAAATGGTGGTTTGGCTAGAAAGTCACGTCCTTCAGACTGCTAGAAGCATTTATATACAACGCTCCTAAGAAGAAAATAAAACTGCTGCTGGAATTTGAGTCTATCAAAAGCTTTGGTCCAGATCATTTATGAAACCTGCAGTAGAAAGGGAGTAGGTCACAGACTTGACAGGAATGAGGAGCAAAGTGCTCAATTTACAAGCATGCTGAATGGCAGAAAGAAAGGGATGGGATTATATTTTGTATTGTTTATTTTGGCAATAAAAAAAGTAAATGTGTTTCAAGCAAAGAATTAGGACAGACAGAGTGGAAATAGGAAAGAAAATGTGTCATCAAATAAACCAAGCTTTCTACTTGCCTGGAGTGCTGTATGGAGTTCTAGTCACCAACTGTCAGAATGGGTCCTGGAGGATTTGAGGAAATTTGAAGATGGGATTTGTGGAATGCAATGAAAGGAATGTTTTTTAATCATCTGTGACACAGGATGAAAGAGAAATAAGCTATGATCAAAGCATATAAAACAAATGGTTTGCAGAAATACATTATGAATGTCTTGTCATGTAAAAAAGACCAATTAATTATAACAGTGAAAATACCAAGTTTCCTAAAACAAAATAGTCATAGAATCATTTAGGATGGAGAAAGATCTGTAAGATGATCGAGTCCAGCTGTTAATGCCCCACTGCCAGGCCCACCACTACACCGTGTCACTAAGTGCCACATCTACACCTCTTTTAGATGCCTCCTGGGGTGGTGACTCCACCACTTCCCTGGGCAGCCTGCTCGGGGCGTGACATCCCAGTGCTCACAGAATGTATCTTAGTCTGTTTCATACTGAGGAGGTCAACAGCTCTGAGATGAAGGAAAAAGTAGAGATTTATACAGGTAGAAATACATATTTATAATGCTAATAAAAGTGTGGAAAGGGACATAGGATTTCAACCTTGATACTAGCCTTAATTTTTAGAAGTTAGGTTAAGGTTTTCACTTGGTTTATCTGTCTGTGCCTTCTGCAGGGTGCATTGCACCTTTCACCCAAGCACCTAGTGCTGACCACCTCTGGGAACGGGAGGTAGGACTAGCTGGGCTCTGCTGGCATTTGTTGGCTGCCATCGTGGCTCTCACCTCCACCACCTGATGGTTCTTGGGGAGCCTGTGCCAAGTAAGCTGGTGCCCAGTTCCAGAGGTAGAAGGGACGGGGTGCAGCTTCACTGTTCCCACAGCTGACACTGCTTCTGTGTCCACCATCACCAGTGACACGTTGGAAGCCTTCATGGTATGAACTGGCAGCTTCAGTGACAGTGCCCCAACCAAATCCAGCTGGGGAATGTCCCGTTCCTCAGGCAGGGAGGAGGAGCAGTACAACAGTAAAACTTTCCTCCCTCCTACAGAGAGTCTCAGCAATTAGGAAAGTAGACAATATATGTACTGTATTTCTAGTTCTTACATTAAAACTATACCTTATCTCTAATAATGTTATATTATATACTTGTAAGTATATACTAATGCTGGTATCTACTTTTATCTACTAGTGTTAGAGGTCAGTACATTTTTTTCTGAAAAATACACACTGTTGTACCAAATTCACATTTTTTTTCACGACTGTATGAAAGCATCCCCAGTCTTTATGTTGGAGAGCTGTTCATTTTAGGTGCAGAGCAAAGCACAGAATGTAGTGTGGGCTTCTTGACTTTATCTTTTGACAGAGTAAAGTAGGTCATAACAGACCCAACCATTGCATCACCTCTGGTTACCTGTGTGCCCCACTGAAGTTTATTCAAGCCTGTATTTTGCATTGATGTTCAGCGTTGTTTCACTTTTATGTTACTTGATTTTACTGGTTTTCATTATTTGTTCTTAAGATGTTGCTGTAATAGCGTTTTACAACATTTATAATTTTTTCCCCCCAAAGATCTTCAGTCTTGACCTTGGAGGTATCTCTGCTATTGTACTCAATGGCTATGATGCAGTAAAAGAATGCCTAGTTCACCAGAGCGAAATTTTTGCAGATAGACCATCTCTTCCTTTGTTTAAGAAGCTGACAAACATGGGAGGTAAGTGCTGAAGTCTTTTTTGATATAAAAATGTAATTTTTGTGCAGCAGTTAAGTTTGTGATCACGTGAAACATTTGCTTTAGTTGTGTTCTCTACCTCTTTATCTCCTTTCATAAAGTACCTGATGCTGCTTTAAAGATACTATTTGGAAAGGATTGTTACTCTGGGACTACGTTCCATAGCAAGTTGTGTGTAATTTTTTGTCTCATTTTCTGTCTTGTTAAATCATTTTATTATCTTATGGGGAGAAAAACAAAGCGTTGCATAAAATACTGTGTCAAAATATTTTTCCAGGCTTACTGAACAGTAAATATGGCAGAGGATGGACAGAGCACCGCAAATTAGCTGTAAATACCTTTCGAACTTTTGGATATGGTCAAAAGTCCTTTGAACACAAAATTTCAGAAGAATCTATGTTTTTTCTTGATGCCATTGATACATACAAAGGCAGACCCTTTGATCTTAAGCATTTGATAACAAATGCTGTTTCAAACATTACTAATTTGATTATTTTTGGAGAACGTTTTACATACGAAGATACTGAATTTCAGCACATGATTGAGATTTTTAGTGAAAATATTGAACTAGCTGCTAGTGCTTCTGTATTTTTATATAATGCTTTTCCTTGGATTGGTATCTTGCCATTTGGGAAACACCAGCAGCTGTTTAAAAATGCAGCTGAAGTCTATGACTTTCTTCATGAGCTTATTGAACGTGTCTCTGAAAACAGGAAGCCTCAGTCACCTCGGCATTTTGTAGATGCATATTTAGATGAGATGGATTGCAATGAAAACGATCCAGAAGCTACATATTCAAAAGAAAATTTAATTTTCTCTGTTGGAGAACTCATCATAGCTGGGACAGAAACCACAACAAATGTTTTAAGATGGGCGGTGTTATTTATGGCTCTTTATCCAAACATTCAAGGTAAGAACTCTGACCCCCTGAGGAACTGATGCACTTTCCTATTGCACATTTAAAATGCTCTTTCAAAGTGGTGCAGTGATCCATAGCTGTAACCAGAAAGGATGGTTGGTATATATTATTCTGTGGTATCAGTTACCAAATATAAGATGGACAGATGAGAAAAGCTTATTGTATATGCAGATGAAGAGGATATCAAAACTCAAGTATGATGATAAAATTTTAGCATATTGTTTTGTAAATACCTTTTTATGAAGCTTTCATAGCTTTTACTAAATTATTTCTAACATATTTAAGTTTAGTGTTGTCATGCATAATATTGGTTGGCAGATGTAGTAATCTATGTGGTTAATAAATAAGCAGATGAAATCAAATATGAAATTCATAAACTAAAAATATAAAAACATCAGCAAAAGTGTAAATCAGGTTGTGGTTAACAGCTTAGGTACAATTTCTTTTTATCCTTAAGTGCCTCAATTCACATTAGACAAATATTATAGATAGGTATAGTTGTACTTTTGGAAGATCAGAAGTAGCATTTTAAAATAAATATGAAAAGATATGTTACAGTCATCCTGAAGGCAGCAGTTGATCAGCCCAGACATTTTTTGTGGAAGTTTGGATTTTAGAAGTGAACAGTTGTCTTCACTGTCTCCACTTTGCTTTTCCTGTCAAAACCTTAGTAGTGCTTAGTTCAACTAGGGACTTTTAGCATTTGGAGAAAGAGCAGCCTAGATTACTTGGAAAGTTATTGTTGATACTTTGATCAAAGAATATTGCTCTAATATCAGTTTTACCATCATCATCATTTCAGAATGGGGACAACAACACTACCTGTAGCTATAAGCTCCTTGAGACCTGAAGTTCTGCACAGGAACCAGATATCTTTATGTGTGACAGATTATACTTTCTTCTTATGGTACTAGGTGCATGACTCTATACCTTCTGATTTTCTCAGCTAGAATAATTTTCTATTTAAATTGGGTGGACAAAAAGCAGTTATTATTTTTAAATGAGAGATCAAATTTTATTCTTATGTTTAAGGTAAACACAGCTTTACTTGAAAAAAAAAAAAAAAGAAAATTAAAATACACTGATCATGTACAGCAGCGCCTGACAGGCTATAAACAGTGAAATAACTCAGATTAAATAAGTTAATGCCAAAGTTCTTTTGTTGCTGCTATTCTCATTACTTAATGTTACATGTCTTAAAATGTGATTTTACTGAGAATAATTACTTTTGAAATGAAGGTTACTGGCATATAGCTGGTAACAATTCCTACTAGCAGGATAAGGAATATTTAGTCTAGAATTAAAAGCTTAGAAAGTACTATACTTTATATAAGATACTTCATGTTTCAATATGCTTTGAAAAGTATTTATTTTAAGGCTTAGCTTAAAAAACAAAGGGTATCACGCAGTAAACATCAGCTTTTATCCTTTTTTCCTAACAGGGCAAGTTCAAAAAGAAATTGATTTAGTCATCGGCCCCAACAAAATGCCTTCCCTGGAGGAGAAGAGCGAGATGCCGTACACGGAGGCTGTGCTGCACGAGGTTCTGAGGTTCTGTAACATAGTTCCACTGGGGATTTTCCATGCGACTTCCAAAGACACTGTTGTGCGTGGGTACTCTATTCCCGAGGGCACCACAGTCATTACAAACCTCTACTCGGTTCATTTTGATGAAAAATACTGGAGCAACCCAGAAGTGTTTTCTCCCGAGAGATTTTTGGACAGCAGCGGGCAGTTTGTCAAGAAGGATGCATTTATTCCTTTTTCAGTAGGTAAGAGGGATTCCTACCACTGTTCCTCTTCATAAAGCTAGAGACGCATAATATACAAGCAATGGCAATAAATCAGCAATGGACAGAATGATAGAAAATATCAGTTCTGATGAAACAGCTACTTTAAAGATATTCAGTATAACACACTCAGGACATAACACACTTTAGCATAAAAAAATTTGCATAGATGAGCTTATTATTGTATAGAAAGTAAGAAAAAAGACAGCATTATCTTATCTGAGGAGTCTATACATTTTACAGCATCAAGTACACAAGTAAGTGTTAGTCACTTTACAATTAATAGTCATTTGCTGCTAAAGTTATTAGTACGGGTGATTTGCACAACCAGTTTTCAAATTTCAGCACTTCAGCATCAGAAATTGTAGCTTCTATTCAAAATGACCTTGAGGGACAGTGTGTAGCACTGCATTCTGTCCTGAGGAAAAACACTCTGGCAAACCTAAATCATTATGGATTTGTCTTTTGATGCCTATATGAGAGGATAATTTACCTTACATATGATTATCAACCTAAAAAATTACATGTTCCCTGTGAGCTTACTGCCAGGGCTCTGCAGTCCATAGAGAGCCATAGCCTTTTGTGGAGGGTGACTTAGTTTACTTCCCTGGGATACTCTCTCCAAAAAAACAGAAGAGGACAAGACATTTCCTTTGGAACAGATGCACAGCTGTCCAAGTCAGACTTCATGAAGTCAACTTTTATTGCATGTTCTATTACGTTTCTTTTTGCCTGTTTGACTTTACCAGTTCCAGATGTTGTTATCCATTCCTCTGCATCTGCCACAACTACATTTACCCCCTGTAATTAGTCATACATGGAATGGGAACTAGTATTTAAAGGCATCCTTCAGACCTGTTTCTTATCTTTCTACTTACCAAGTTGTAATAATTGCCAGGTAATAATTGGCAGTAGATATAATCAAGAAAATGGTAGTGGACAGAGGCTGAAATTCAGTGTCATTTTTTGAAAACATCATCTGTCTAGATTGGCACTTCAAGACAAGATAAACTGGCTGATAGCTTATCTAAATAAATCTGACAGAATTAGTTACAATGGCATTTGTGTAGGCTCATACAGTTCCTCTTAGAATACAGAAATGATCATTCTTACTCATAATGAGAATGAAAATGCAATTGAACACATCTTGTTTTCCAAACCTTCTTTTCAATCCAGGAAGAAGACATTGTCTTGGAGAGCAGCTGGCTCGAATGGAGATGTTTTTGTTTTTCACTTCACTGCTACAACGATTTCACCTCTGTTTTCCTCCTGGGGTGATCCCGGACCTGAAGCCAAGGTTAGGGATGACTTTACAGCCACAGCCATACCTCATCTGTGCAGAGAGACGGTGACCAGGTGGGGCACACTGCTCCATGCTGCAGCTGGGGACACACCTTGCCTTCTGTTCCTAAACGTGTTCATGTCAGAGGAATAAAAATTGAAAGGACTTGCAGATAAATTCTGTTTGTGCACAAGTTAATAGCTTCTTTTTACTTGGTGTTCACCAAAAAAATCCTCAACCAAAACTGTGAAACACATCCTGTGTTTAAACTTGATGTTTTTCACTCCAAAAGTCTGTTTTGAATCTAGCTTGATTCAGCTTTTAAATATTTCATTGTGTAGTAAGCCATTTTACTTTGAGAGGATATTTTTCTAAGCATGGAGAATATGACTCAAAATGTTTATACTTGGATTAATCTGTGGATTTCTCATGGACATTACTTCAGATAAGCTGTTCTTTATAATTCTCCATTAAATTTACATAGCTAAAAAGGTTTTGAAGGTATCTATTTAAATTTTCTTTAATTCAAAATAAACTATCTTTTCCAACCTGTACAAACAAATTTTCTATTAAAGAATTTTATTCCTTCCTTTTCCTTGCCTTCTCTTTCCAGTTGGTCATAATTTACTAGTGATTCAGATAACCACGTAAATTCACTTTTAAGATCTTTTATGGCTGGGTTCTCATTTAGTAACATATATGTATATAAGGTATTCAGTTATTGCCATATTCCTGACAATTACAGCAATCATTTTTGCCAGCGTATTGCATTTCCAGGCCCACATCCTCCCTTGCCTCCCAAAATCAAGCATAATGTAATGATTAATCTCTGCTAAGTAGTTGGGGAAAAAAACTAGTTCATGTGACCAGAGTCTCATGCAGCTACACTACTAGTCAAGAAAATAAGCTGCTTATGAGTCTGACTATAGAAGAGAATTTTTGGGGACACGGAATGGAATAGGGTGGGGAGAAACAATTTAAATGGATTTTAAGCACAAGTTTTAGGCCTAACAGCTACTCTTGACTTCTGCCAGATGGATTTTTTGTGACAGCTGTTGCTTTATGGTTATTGGTAGATAAAGATTTATGCATGCAGGCCCTGCAGGAGAACCTGATACTTCAAATATGGTATGTTCAGTCTTCACCATGTGAGGAGAAGTGGGGCTTCAGAATAGGGTTCAGAAGAAAACACAGCAAGCAGTGTCCTTATTTAAGGACAGGGCTGAATCTTAGACCTTGCTCTTTATACAGCTTCTGCTTCAACTTGGAGCTGCAGGAAAGTTCAAAAGCAGGAACTGCTCCTTTTCTGCTGACCTGATAACTGAAGGAGTCAGCTTACAGTGTGCAGAAATACTTGCTTCTGAAACAGCAAAAGAGAAAGATCAGACAGCTGATGCCCATCCACTTAGGCAACAGTCCTTTGGCTTAAGATGCAGCAGGTCCAGATTAGATTATTCTGAGAGAAGACAGACCCCCATGCCCCACAGGGAGCATCTCGAACTGCTCCTTTTCTGCTGACCTGATAACTGAAGGAGTCAGCTTACAGTGTGCAGAAATACTTGCTTCTGAAACAGCAAAAGAGAAAGATCAGACAGCTGATGCCCATCCACTTAGGCAACAGTCCTTTGGCTTAAGATGCAGCAGGTCCAGATTAGATTACTCTGAGAAGACAGACCCATATGCCCCATAGAGAGCATCTCAAACACATGTTCCTGGTGCTCTGAAGAGGGTGGGCAGTCACCCTCTTGCTGAATGACTCCATTTCTGCAGGGATTAAGATTCAAAAGGGAGAGGGAAGCCCAGTCGCTGAGCATTGGGCACACTGCGAAAGCTGAGAATAAACCACCCCTAAGGTACTGGCAAACTGTGGGGCTTTGGAGTCCAGACTGAGGCTTTTCTGCATACCTGCATAAGTAGATGTTGGGTGATTGTGAAGTGCTTCTGTAAAAATGGTGGAATCTACTGAATTTGGATGCCTTCATTATGAAGCAATACCAAACAGAGGTGTTCAGTGCTACAGTTCTGGATTCATGGTAATTCTTCCTATACTCCACCCTGTGCTCTCAGTTCAGGCAGCCAGACTGTTGTTAGTACCTAGGCTTGCCTTCTAGGTTGCAAGAACTTTAATTAAAGCATAACTCAAATAATCCTAACTGAAGTGGGGGAGGATTAAAACAAACAAACAAAAAGATCAAGAACCAGTTCTTGTGGGGGCTCCACTCAAAATGCAGCTGGCTAGTGATAATTCCCTTTTGCTGAGGTATTTTGAGATCTAACTCCTGGTTACTTTTTAATCCACTTAATGAGAACCAGATTGATTATATGTCATTCTGGTTTCTAAATCAAAACACCTTATAAAAGCTGTAGAATATCAATCCAAACTTTTACTATTATTTGCCAGTTTATAATCTCGTTGAAGTAATCAATTACATTTGACAATCTCTTCTATAAATCTGTATCAGGTATATGATATGTTTCATTCTGTATCAATTTTTCATTATTTTCCCTCTATCTTAGAATCATCCTAATGATCCAATTTAATAATTTGAAATATTGACATTGTAAATTTTTTTTTTTCCCAGTCCTCTGGAATTTCTGCATTGTACCAAGATGGATTAGTAATGAACATCAGTAGATGTTCAGAATTTCTTGGTGATACTTTTCTACAGCTGAAATATCTGGCGTAGCTGGCTGCTATTTCACATTCTTTAGGGATTAAAGGTTGATGTATTAACAATATATCATTTTCTGGTTGTAGAACTGAAGGAGGAAACAAGACACTAAGTAACGTGTCAGATTGTTCCCATTTGCAGAAGTTTTTCCTGTCTGGTTTTAAATGTCATAATGTTTTGGATTAAAACAATGTATCCAGACACCAATGGAAAGATTTATTGACATTTAAGTTGTAACTTCTCCGTTTCTGTTTATTATTGCAACTTATTGCACTTTTGGTTTTGCCATTTATTGCACTTTAGGTTTCACAATTTTCCTAAGTTTTATTCCCTTCAGTATTTATAGTTTTCTCATTCTTTGTCTTTTGCAGAGTTAGTTCTTTGAATTCATGATGATAGTTCAGAACTGGAAGCACTGTTTCCACATACAGTTGTATCACAACCACAAGAACAAACTTCCATGTACCTTGTCCGTAACCCCACTGCTGTTCCCAAAGACAGTGAAGGACTTTTTGCTGTAACTGTAGCTAAAAATGCATCTCCAGCTTGCTTTTCTGCTTTTGAACCCTGTACAGTTTTGAATCATTCTTTCTTTCTAGTCTGTCCTGAAAAAAAAAAAAATAAGAAAAAACAGTTAAGTTTTTTCTTCCTGTGAAATTACTACAGTGTTCTGTGCACTCTCCTTTCGGTCTTGCTCAGTATTTGTAAATGCAGACTAGATTCAGCACTTTCCTAAGGAATAAGAATTTTAGGATTAAGACTTGGGTTTATGTTCTTAATTATTTCAGTTTCTCCTTGAGCAATAACTAGTTGTCTTTTCTGAGTAGAATCACAGAAATTCTGCTAATGGGAGGTGAATACAGTCAACTCACCATTGTATTAGTTTACTGTATCCCATTCAAAGGTCTCCACAGCCAATTACAGTGTAATACCAGTAGGAAGATTATGATCTGCTGTTTGTTTTGCGTACATCTGCTTTCTTCAGCTTGGCTCTGGTTTTGTATACTTGCCTCAAACCAGAAACTCTAGAAGTAGTTCTGAGCCTTTGCTCACTGTTCTAATTTTTGGAATTATTTATAAGTCATTATGAAGTGGTTTAAATTACTTCATGCTGCAGAAATTATTAAGTTGTAAAATTGTAATTCTGAAAAGAATTATGTTGATTTACATTCATTTATGCACTCACATTACAATCGACTCATTTCACTGAGTATGTTTTTGACCCCCCGTAGGCCAGATCCAATGTCAACAGAAGGAAGGTCTTTCCTTCTGGACTCTGGCCTTTTTGGACACATTCAAATATAAATTCAGATGTCTGCAAGCCAATGACATAGAAAACAGGTATAGGAGGAGGGAAATCTATATTGAAAAGCTGCAGTATTCTGGAACGGTGCAAGATACTTTCACTGAATTATGAGCTGACCAAATAGGATGTGATCGTATCAGGGCAGCACCATGTCCAAACTAACAGGCTTCCATTTCAGAAAGATTTATCATTTCAGACTTGATGACACACTGGCACCATTGGAAAGTTTTTGGGTAAGTTGGAGGCTCAAGCATGTCTCCAGAATATACACTACAGAAATGTAACGTAGACCTGGCCAGTGACAGGCAAGACAATTCGTTTGCTTGTTTTACCAAACATGTGATTAAGTGACTTGATTACAGTCTACAGCTATCTAATCAGAGAACAAAAACATGATAAAAGATCTCTTGAGTAAGTAGACAACTATATAAATAGAAGTCAAGATGAAATATCATTAAATTAGGAACTGGGTCCACACATTGTGAGGATATTTATTCCTGGACTGTTACAGAAATTTTCAAATCAGTTATCAGACCTTTCTTCTGTGCTTTGGTTCTAATTTGCACTGTCTTCAGCATGAAAAGTAAATGACATAAGCTCACAGTAGTCCCTCCTGTCTCATCAGCTCGTAAAATTTACTGTTCTTTCTGAACTCCAAACCTCTGCCAGCTAGCAAGTGTTAAAGCAGCCTGAGCTCACATAGCAAGCAGGTCTTTTCTTGATTTAGTATGTCATTCTGCTATACAGTTAGATTCTCAGTCTAATTCTGATTCAGGCTCTCTGAATAGTGAATATCAGCTATCAATCTGCATTTTTTTTAGCCTGAATTGAGCCTAATGGCTTGTTCAAGCATTAGCAATTATTGTTCGGACAGCACATCCACCTGAAAAGTAGTAGCAGGTTCAGAAAGAACACAGTAAGAGTCAAAACACTTTGGAAAAAAGGGTGAAAGTAAGTAAATTTTGCAACAAAGGATCGAATGGGAAAATATAAGGATTAAGGGTAAAGAGAGGGAAAGAAAATCATAATGGTGAAGACGCCAGATTAGAATTTAACTTTGGGTGGAATAGATGGTGATGGAAACAGAAGGTA